GAGTAGCTGAGATTACAGGCATGAGCCACCATGCCCGGCTGATTTTGTATTTTCAGTAGAGGTGAGGTTTATCCACGTTGGTCAGGCTGGTCTTGAACTCCCGACCTCAGGTGATCCGCCCACCTCAGCCTCCCAGAGTGCTAGGACTATGGGCATGAGCCACTGCACCCGGCCCAAACCTGCCTCTCTAGCCCCTGGTTGTCTCCCCAGAAAACTGGATGCCAGGTCTTTCTTGGGAGAAAAGGAGAAAGAGGCACCTGGCAGCCAGCAGCTCCCCTTCCCTGGAGGGTCTTACTTCTTTTACAAATGTTTTTAGAGGCCGGGCACGGTGGCTCACACCTGTAATCCCAGCACTTTGGGAGGCCGAGGCAGGTGGATCACGAGGTCAGGTGATCGAGGCCATCCTGGCTAACACAGTGAAACCCCGTCTCTACTAAAAAAAATACTAAAAACATTAGCCTGGCGCGGTGGCGGGCGCCTGTAGTCCCAGCTACTCAGGAGGCTGAGGCAGGAGAATGGCGTGAACCCGGGAGGCAGAGCTTGCAGTGAGCGACAGAGAGACTCCGCCTCAAAAAAGAAAAATGTTTTTAGAGAATGAAATACCTTTCAAAAATGTATCTCGGACCAAACTTGTTCCCTCGGGGGGCTGGGATGTGCCCACGACCAGGGCTCTGGGACGCCTTCCGCCCGGAGGCCCAGCACAGGGACCACCTGCCCAGTCAGGCCACTTCAGCTGGCAGCTCCTGCGGGTCCCGGCTCCTCCACGGCCAGTCATTCTCGACCGCCCCCGCCCTCTGTGTCTGTAGCTACTGAGTTGCCGCTGCTGGCTGGTAAGAGAATTCTTCCTGTCCTTCCCCTGGTGTGGCCATGTATTTTGACAAGAAAAGACAAGCAGGAAAATTGTCTTTTTCCCCAAGCTTCTTGCCCACGTCAAGGGCAGGCCTGCTCCACCAGCATCTGCCAGTGCTTTTTTTTTTTTTGAGGCGGAGTCTCGCTCTGTCGCCCAGGCTGGAGTGCAGTGGCCGGATCGCAGCTCACTGCAAGCTCTGCCTCCCGGGTTCACGCCATTCTCCTGCCTCAGCCTCCCGAGTAGCTGGGACTACAGGCGCCCGCCACCTCGCCCGGCTAGTTTTTTGTATTTTTTAGTAGAGATGGGGTTTCACTGTGTTAGCCAGGATGGCTGCCAGTGCTTTTTCATCTCGGAGCGATCGCGTGCGGCTAATGGGAGGGGTCGCTGCTGTTGGAGAGGGTGGGATGGGAGGAGTCTCAGAATCAAGATGCAGGGCAGGATCAGGGATGGAAAATCAGAAACTCACTTATTTCAAGCCAGGATTGTGATAAGAAGGACTTCGGTGAACAGCCCTAGGGCGAGGCCCACAAGCAGAAGCAATCCGATGGCACCAAAGAGAGCACCAGCCCCCAGAACCCTGCAGAGCCCCGAGCGAGGGGGAAAGGCCTGCTGGCGTTCCCAGGCACGGGCATCCTATCCCTGGCCCCAGGGAGGGTGTCGTCTCTGCTCCCACCAGGTCAGCGTTTGGAAGAGGGTGAAGAACTTCGTGCATGAGACAAGGGGCATGAGAACAAGGTCCACCCCCAGCCGCCTCCCCCCAGCACCATCCTCTCCTCCTCCCTGGAGAGTTCTCCAAGACCCTGGGGAGAACTAAAGCACAGTCACGCTCTTGGCAAGGCACCGTGGCAGCAGAGCACATAGGCGTAAGCACGCGCAGTAGAGAGGAGATTCGGTGTAGAGAAAGAGATTAAGCAGGGCTAAGGCAGTTATAAACGTCATAATTTTGATGCATTTTCAGGTGCCAAAGAATCGCTCTTGGCTTTGAGAGCTGGATGGTGAGCTCGGCTGGGGCTGGGAGCCAGTGGCACGTGTACTATTGAAGCTGGCTTTCCCACACAGGGCCTGGGGTGGCAGCACCCCACTCGGGGAAGTCCTCGGGGTGGATCCACCATTCAAAACTTTTGATCCAACGTTCAAAACTGAGATACAGGCTAAGGATCCCTAACGCAGGATTGCCTTTGAGCATCATATCGGCAAAGATTCCAAAATGTGAAAAACTGAAACATCTCTGGTCCCAAGCATTCTAGATAAAGGGATACGCACCCACCTGCAGCCCCTCCTTTCTCCATCAGCATCTCTAAAGATGATCCCAGGAGCCTTCCTCCCTCTCTCCGGGAAGATCCTTTACTGGAGGCCACATGCCTGTGAGAACCAAGCGCTAGACCAGGCCTCTGCCTGGCTGGCTGATGCTGGACGTGGCTCTCCAAGCCTGTTTCTACCTTTGAACCAGGAAAAGAACATCCATTTCTCTGCCCCGTAAACAGATCCTAGACGCTGTGAACTTTGGGTTTTGTGGGGTGCTGAGCCATCCCTCTGTGGCTGCCTGAGTTGGTCCCATACAGGCGTCCCTTCCCTGAAGGCTGATCCGGCCCTGCCCACGGCACGCGTGGGAGCAGCTCCTGCCCAGGCCAATGGCCGGAAACGCCACAGTGGCTCCTCTGGCTGGAGGAGGATGACACCTGGGCCTCAGTGCAGTTTGTAGGAAAGGAAGGATGCCACGGGGTCAGATCGCATGTGGGGGAGATTTGGTACAGAAACTAACACAGGAATTAAGGTGGCAGAAACGTCACGTAAGGTGAGGCATGTGTCTCCTGGCCTCTCATCTATCTCAGGTCTGAACTTCGCATAGCATGAGGCTGCAGTGCTGAGACTCAGCCCCTCCCCGGGGGGCCCACAGCCTACGCCACTCACTCTGCACGTGGCATTCTTGGTTTCTGCATCTTTGAGCAGAATGCTAGACACATTGGTTTACCCTCTGCTCAATATCCCTTTAACAAATCACCGTGCAAAACATTCCAGCCGGGTACAGCTCCCCCGACGCCGGGACCCCATACCGGGTCCTCCACTCCCTTCCCTCTGCCGGGTTTGATTTGACCAACATCCAGAGTTCACTTCAGAAAGGGCAGGGTGAGAGGAAGGATAGCATGGGGGTCCCTGGCCTGCGCCAGCCCTGGGGCAGACGCCAGAGGGTCCAGCCCCCCCTG